GTAGTTGTATGATGCTCGCGCGCGTCGTTCGACTCTCCCGAGCCTTCGGTTCAGAGTTTTTTAACTCACAGGAGTTCGCGTTTCATCTCATGTTGTTCAGAAAGAGTCTCTGAGTAAAAGCAGCTGATGATGATGCTGATGTTGATGATGATGATGATGATGATGATGGTGGTGATGATGATGATGATGATGAGGTGAGGCGAGGCGAGGTGAGGTGAGGCGAGGCGAGGTGAGGCGAGGTGGGGCGAGGTGAGGTGAGGTGGGGGGGGGGCAGCGGGAAGAGGAGTGCGAACGCGGGGCGCTGTCTCTTCTAAACGAGGACCCAACACCCGAGCGAGCGAGATGGGGAGGGGCCGCAAGACGGCTGAGCAGCGGCGCCGCCGGCTGAGGGCCTGGCAAGCGGTGAAGGGATGGAGTGCTCCGCCGCCGGCCACGGCCTGGCGTGCGGAGCCACGCCGGAGCGTGACGCCAAGCGCAGCGCCTCGGGCGCCCGCGGGCAGCTGGGCGCCTGCGGGCTGCGAGGCGCCGGCGGCGGCGGCTGGGCGCCCGCGGGGCCGCCGGGCCGCCTGTTGCCCCTGAGCGGCCGAGCGCCCGCGGGCGGCGGTGCGCGCGCGGGCTGCGGCGCACGGGGGGCGGCGGCGGCCGGGCGCCCGGGCGGCTGGAGCCACGCTGGCGCCCCCGCGCGGCCAGGCCCGTGGGTTCCCCCACGGCCAGCCTGGCGCTGAATTCGCAAGTGCAGTGCCGTCATGAGGGGGCGGCGGTGCGGGCTTGGGCGCAGCCGGCGGCAGGCGCAGCACGCGCCGCCTGGCCGCGCCCCGCGCCGGCGCGGCGTAGGCACCGGCGCACGAAAAACCCCGGGTGCGCCGGCGGCCGCAGGCTGCCCGCGCCCCCAGACCACATGGAGGGTGCGCCGGCAGCGACCGCTGCCAGGCGCAATGCGGGGGCCCGTCTTCTCCTGTCCTTGCCCCTGCCTCTGCTTGCTCTCCCTCGCTTCCCCCTCTGGGGCTCGAGCTTTTCTGGGCCAGGCTGGCCCGTCCAGGAGGCCCTGCAGGCCTCTCCCACCCGTTGGCCTTCGAAAGGCTCTCTGCCCGCGGTCGAGGGGCCGCGGGCGGAAGAGCCCGCTGACGCGTGGCGGAAGGCGTGGAGCGGAGCGTGCGCACACGCATCGCCAACATCATCTGAGTCATTATCTTTTCCTCCTCGACCTCCCTCGGCATAGGGTCGAGGAGCCTTTTCGGTAGTGCGCTACTGCTGTCAGGGATGGCCGAGATGCTCTCAGAACATTTCTGGCTGGGGCTGTTTTGTTTTACCACATCCGGCTTATATTGTAAGAACATTGTTGACGTTCTTAGACCGTTTTGGGGTTCAAATAACATTTCGTGGTAGGACTATAGGAATGCCAGGACGGCTTTTCCCTGCTCAATTCGTGGGGATCGAGCCGAGGACCGAAGAATTCTGGGCATCGCTCGGGCGTGTGTGTCTCGGCGAGGCGAGCACCAGCTCTAGACCATCTTGGATCATTCGGGGCCGTCTCGAGACAGCAAAATCACGCACGGAACCAAACAGTGCACAGGAAATGCACGTCCGAACGATGGCAGGACGTGGGCACGAGGATCGACGGCAGCGCTTGTCCTTTTTGGAGCAGGGCTTTGCAACGGTGGTGCCGCGGCGGTTTTCCTGTCCATGTGATTGAAGCGTCGCCTGCCCGACAGCGGCCGCTGCCCGTTTTGGACAACATTTTTTGTGTGGCATCGCCCACAATCTTACAGTCAACCCGCATAGGAAGGATGGGCAACCTTCCCAAGAGTATCCTTGCATCCTTGCCTCCTCGGTCTATCCTTGGCCACTTTCGTTGACCGCGCCCCGCTCGAAAAGTTTCGGCATGGCCTTCCAAGGCCCTTGCATCCTTATTGTGTGCCCTTATGATACGGGCCGATTGTAGCGAGTCCCCAGCGCGGGCGTGCCGATCGAAGGCCAAGACGCCCCGACGGCCCAAGAAAATATGGGAAATTATGGGAAGTGGGGGGGAAGACAAAAACCCAGAAAATATTGAAAATATTGGGAATCCTGTTTTTTTTTTTGCGTGTATCTATTTATGTGTCCTTAGGCCCCTTGAAAAAAACGCGCTCCATCGAAGGGATGCCAGGGCCTTGTGGCCCCGAACAGAAAGCGAGTCGCCGGATGTCTACAAGCAAGGCAAGCTCAGAGGAGGTGAAGTTTGTGTAATTAGTGTGCGTGGGGGGGCGGGGCTCAGTGGGCCCTGGAAACGGTAGACGGAGGGGGAGGAGGGGGAGGAGAACTCGAGGTGATGTGGCCTTGGGTGGTTGCTCACAAGGTCGAGGTCGACGCGTACTCGGAAGTTGATGGTTGCCCCCACGGGGCCGCGGAACGATTTCCTGCAACCCCGCGACGCGTGCGAGAGGGAGCGGCGTCCGCAAGTCCAGGAAACAAAAAGGTCAGCGAATCCAGGACACATGAGGAACATATGCTGAAAACGAAATCCAGAAGCGCGAGAAAAGCACCTTTGCGCCCCTCTCGCTTCCATAGCAGTTGATTATGAGAAGCCTGCTACCGCAGACCCAACCCGTAGCAGTTTCATGAGCAGTTGTATGGATAGTGTCCTTCTTACATCGTGCGCGCCGTGGGAGAGCGAGAGAGAGAGAGAGAGAGAGAGAAAAACAGCGGAAGAGATACGGGCACATTGGCAGACATATTGACAGACGAAGAGAGACAGAAAGAGAGAGAGAGAGAGAGGGAAAGAGGTGTGTGTGTGTGTGCGTGCGTGCGTGCTTTTGTGTACGCGCGTGTGTGTGTGTGTGTGTGTGTGTGAGTGTGTGTGTGTGTGTGTGTGTGCGTGAGTGTGTGTGTATGTCTGTGTGTGTGCATCTGCGTCTGCGTGCGTGTGCGTGCTTGTGTGTGTATGTGTGTGTGGGTGCCAGTGTGTGTGTGTGTGTGTGTGTGTGCGTGCGTGCGTGCGTGCGTGCGTGCGTGCGTGCGTGCGTGCGTGCGTGCGTGCGTGCGTGCGTGTGTGCGTGAGTGTGTGCGTGTGTGTTGGGTGGGTGAGTGGTGAGTGGGTGTGCGGGTGTATGTGTCTGTGTGTTCGTGCATGCGTGCGTGTGCGTGTGTGTTTGTGTGCGTTTGCTGGGGGGGAACATGCTTCTCTTCGCTGCGTGGGCGGGGCCAGTACGAGCGCTTGCTTGGCCAGTCCTACGCCGCGCCGTCACGCGCGCGCGTGGCCGTGACGCCAAACGTGCATGTGTGTATGGGTGCTTGTTGTGATTTGTTGTGTTCTGCTCTGTGTTGCTTTCTCATGTAATGGCATGTTCTGTTGTGTTCTGTTGTGTTGTGTATAAGGGCGGCTATCAGAGGAGGCGTCACATTCGATAGGGCTGTGCCGAATTGGGCTGGGGGGGCCGCGACAGAGGCCGCAGTTGGAGCCCCCAGGATGGCACGAGACGTCGGAGGGGCGCCCCGAACGGGGCGGGGCGGCCGCCTGCGAGCGTGTCCTGAGCGTGTGGCGAGCGTGCCGAATTCGGCGAGGCGGCCACGTGCGATCGTGCCCGCACCTGACGACGTCCCCCCGCCGACTTCGGCGCACCCGTCACACCACGTTGTGCGCTCCATGGGGAGCTCCGACCGTGGCCCCGCTGAGTACGTTCGCATGCGGCCCCCCCCCCACAGCCACACTCGGCACACCCCTTGCACGTCTCGCGCAGGAGGGGCCCCTTTTGCGGCCATACGGTGGGGCAGGGGTAAGCCCATCCCAGAATGGGAAGTGGGGGCCCCGTGAGCAACTTGCGGCCAGAGGGCGAGTGTGATTAGTAGAAATCCCTGCGCATACGGAGTCGCACCCCTTCCATCCGCGCCTCATGCCTCTCCCTTCCCATCTGCGTTTCGAAACCATGCATACACATGGGTGCGTGGCGTATCAACAATGCCTCAATGCTTAGATTTGCCCTTGGGCATTCTCACGGTGCAAGCAGTGATGCCTTTTTGTGGTGTTGCTTGGTTGCGATCTGCATGGCGGGTGCCTGCCCTTGACATGCACATATACCATAGACATCAGTCAATTCGTGGTCGTGTACTGCCTTACTGCGTCGAGTTGTTAGATGAGTCATTTTGTTGGTTTGGGTTGAAGGACCTCGCTGCCTTCATCTGCGACTGCTTCTGGGACCCAGCAGTGAAGAACTCCACCCTGCCTGTTGGATGGGGTGGGGGGTTGTAGCAGCCATGCGGAATCGTGCTCTGCCCTCGTAGACGGAGCGGACGCCATACAACCACGAACGGGGAGGGAGGATGGGAAAAGGGAGGGATAGAGAAGAGAGAGGAGAGAGAGAGAGAGAGAGAGAGGAGCGAGAGAGAGAAGAGGGAGAGAGAGAGAGAGGAGCGAGAGAGAGAGAGAGATAACGTTGCATAGGCAGACGAAGTGCGAGACTTGTGCCAAGAGAGGAGAGAGAGAGAGAGAGAGACGAGACAGAGAGGTGAGAGAGAGAGAGAGAGAAACGAGAGAGAGAGAGAGAGAGAGAGAGCGATGCGCAGAGGCAGAGGGGGGGCACAGCAGGGTGGGCGGGCGGAGAGGCAAGGGCACGGAGCCGCGCTGCCGCGGGTCCAGCGGGGCGGCGGGAACTGATCAGTATCCTTTAAACGATCCCCATCCCCATCCCCTTCGAGACCCCCACCAAATTACCACCCCAGTTGGGGATACACCCTTCGAAACCCGAAGGGAACGACCTATATCCCCATCTCGAGGGGTAAATCGGCCAGTGGGGCCCAGGCCACGCCGCTGGGGATGGGGATCGGTCAACCGATACTCATGAGGCGGAGAGGGCCTCCTCAGAAGGCGGCGGGGCCTCTCAGAAGGACTCCGCCTTCCGAGAGGTTTTTTCTGTCTCCGGAAGAGGCGCAGAGCACTGCCCAGGCTGGGGGACTTCTGAGCCTTGTCGGCAGAAGGCCCACCCTTCCTCACTTCCCCCCCTCGCTCGCCGCCGACCAACGGGGCAGGCGGCCCGGGCAAGGCGATGACCTTCAGGGAGCAGGGCGTCTTGCTGCATGAGTCGATCGGCAAGGAGCTCGCGGGAGGGCTTCGGTGGGCTCGTGGCGTGTCGACGCGGCTGCGACCCCAGCGCCCGCCGGCGGTCCAGGCTGAACGCCTCCAACGGAATCGGCCAACATGGGACCCAAAGCCCCTGCAAACGGGGCGGTAGTGAACGAGCCGGTAGCTGAGGGTGCGTTTTCAATGGTGTTTTCAAGGAATTGGCTTGCCGCGGATGATGATGTATCGACGCTTTTCTCGCCCCGGTTTATCACGCACTAGTGCGAGGTGAATGCCCTGCCACCCCGTTCTGGCTTGAAGAGGCCCCTAACTAACGCCCCGTTTACCAACGCCCCGTTTGCAGGGGCTTCGGGCCCAGCATCGGTCAACATGGGACAATCTGGGGATCGAGGAGCCGCCGATCGCTGAAGGTTGAACGATCCATCAGGAAGAAGCGCCGAGGTCGTCACGACGCCCAGAATCGGCCAACATGGGACGATCCGGTGATCGAGGAGCCGCCGATCGTGGAAAGTTGAACGATCCATCCAGAAAAAACGCCGAGGTGGTCACAACACGGGCCTGCCCGGCAGAATCGAGGGCCGAGGTCTTGTCGGGCACCTTTTTGTCGGACATTTGATTTATATTTATATTTACATATATATATATATTATATATTTATATATAACATATATATATATATATATATATATATATATGTAAGTTTATACATTACAGTTGGGGCCCTATGCCAAGAAACACCCTGCTCGCCTCCAGGGTGCCCTGGGTTTCTTGGGCTTCGATGGCTTTGCTATGGAAATCGTGACGTTCCCACAAAACAAATGGACGTCCTGCGGTCTCAGGGTTGGGTTTCTTGTGGAAGCTTTTTTGTGGTCCAGCTCCTACTGTTCCAGTGGCGGGATGCTTTTCATCACAGGACTTTGTGAGGGTCGGGGGCGACGTCGGGGTGGTGTAGTGTATACTTGCTTACCCGCATGCCCGGGGGAACAGCGCAACACGTACACGCCAGGACCTCCCCCCCGTTCTTCTCTGCGAAGCTCAGCGCGCGGCCAAAAAAATAACGCCGCTGTACAGAGTTTGGCTCCTTACCTTGTGTCCCCACAGGCCTTCAGATCGCGCCGCCCCCGACGGCCGCCCCTTGGCTGAAGTCGGGCCTGTCCCCCTACAGGCCGATTTTGAACGAAAATTTAAACATAGTCGACAAATATTTCAAATTATTCAAAAATTGTCAAAAAGTCGTCCCAAAACTGTGTTTTCCTGTTGTTGAATTTCCTTCCTGTAGAGGGACAGGCCCGACTGAACCCTTGGCCCATAGATCGCCCCCTGCGCCGACTCCGCTCGAGCCGCCGCCTCGATCCAGGGTCGAGCCGGCGGCTCGTGCACGGCTCGCTGCGGGGGAGGCGGTCCCGAGGGGAGCTCTATCCCCGGAGAAAGCGATGATTGCTAAGGCCTTACGGCCGGTGCCGCCGATCCCGGAGGCCTCGGCCCTCGACGGAAATGGGAGAGACAGGGCGGGCCTTGGGGCCCCGGGAGGGTGGTTCTTTGACCCGGGACCCCTTTCTGAGACCCCCTCGTTCAAGTGAACACCGACGTTGCTCAGATTGGCTTCCCCTCCGCGTCGCGGCCGCCCCCCTCCCCCGAAAGGAAGCCGCCCTGGTGCCCCCCTTCCCCGGGCATCCGGGTGGGACCCCCCCCCCTCGGGGGGAAGGGGAAAAAGGGAAGGGGCTTCCCTTCGAGTACGCTACGACGTTGCTCAGATTGGCTTCCTCCCCGTGTCGCGGCCGCTCCCCTCCCCCGAAGGGAGCCGCCCGGGTGCCCCCCCCCACCTCCCGCGCATCCGGGTGTGACCCCCCCCCTATCGGGGAGAAGGGATAAAAGGGAAGGGGCTTCTCTTCACGTTGCTCAGATTGGCTTCCTCCCCGTGTCGGGGGGGGAGCAGATGGGCTCCCCCCGGGTCGCGGCCGCTCCCCTCCGCGTCGCGGCCGCTCCCCTCCCCCGAGGGGAGCCGCACGGTTGCCCCCCCCCCCTCCCTCCGCGCATCCGGGTGCAACCCCCCCCCCCGTCCCCCCCCCCCTCGGGGGGAAGGGATAACAGGGAAGGGGCTTCCCTTCGAGTAAGCTGCGACGTTGCTCAGATTGGCTTCCTTCCCATGTCGGGGGGGGAGCAGATTGGCTTCCCCCCCGGGTCGCGGCCGCTCCCCTCGCCCGGGGAGAGTCGACCACTCCCCCTCTTGGAGCCGACGTGGCGGTGTCGTGGGCACGTGGGCAGCTCCCCTCCCCCGAGGGGAGCCGACCACCCCTCTTGGAGCCGACGTGACGATCTCGTGAGCAGACAACCCGCGCGAGCGCGCATTCTTAAAACAACGTATGGGGAAAGCGATGATTTACGAAAGCGAGAAACGGATGTATTACATTACCCTGCCTATATAATGAAAACAAGGCAATCCATCATTTAGTAAACGCAGAAGCCGGTTTACTGAATTCAAAAACGGGTTTTCTATATATGGGGCCGTTTTTCTAAATCCCAGTTTTTATCACTACCATCACCTGAGTGACTCGATTATTCTATGCCTCCTAGATTCAAGTCGAGCTTGTCCCTCTACAGGAGATGTATTCAAGAATAGTTCTAAAAATAGTCTTGAGACGACCTTATGGCAAGTGTTGCGCAGTGTTAGGTATTTATCTGACTACTTCTAATTCTTCGTCCAAAATCGGCTTGTAGGGGGACAAGCCCGACTTAATCTTAGATGGGGTCCGAGTAGACGGGTTCGGAGGATCGCGTCGCATCGCCGATGCATCGGCGATGCGGCTCGATGTGGAGCCCGAGCTTCTCCGCGCCGGCGTCGCCGATGCATTGCCGACGTCGCCGAGGCATCGCCGATGCATGTGCATCGCCGATGCATCGGCGATGCGGTGCAATCCTTCGACCCCATCTACTCGGACCATACATATAGGAGGCTTGTAGTAACGGGTACGCAGGTTTTCTGTTTTCGGGCTCCCGGGGCCCTCCATGGGCCCTGGGACCGTCAAACATACGTCAGGATGAAGAGCCGGCCTTGGGGGAAGGCCCCATGGTCCACGATCCGTCTCCCTCAGGGGCCGTCTCCTTCATGTTGAGGGGTGGTGCCCGTTCGCCCTCCCAGGCACCCAATTGTGGCGAGAAGCTCCTCGAGATCGCCGCGGGGAAAAGCACGCGACGACGGGGAACTCTGGGGTGGTGTTCGCTGCTCCTCATGCGCGTGGCTTGTTGGCTGCGCGCGCGGGATAATTTGGTCGTTCGCTGATGACGGTCCGTCGCTGCCCCCCCCCTCGGTATCGTTTAACCAATCCCTTTTCTCACCCCCTCAAGCGATACTCACCCCCTTCTCCCTCTCTCTCGCAAGTACAGGGCGCGCGAGTGTCCGTCCAAGAGGCCAGCCTCCCCGTGCCTCGTCCGGGCCGAGCAAGCCTTGTGCTGGATAGCTCTTCCACCGCGGGCAAGTTGCATCGAACAGACAGCCCGCCTGCGTTGGCACCGACAGCAGGAGCGGGACAGTGCACAGCTGGATGGTCTTGAGTGCAGAGGAATGCCGATGTGCTTTACCAACGACTGCATGCGTACCAGACAAAAACACAGGCCGCACAGTTGTCAGAGCCCTGCCGGGCTGCAGTGCTTGGTCATCGGTGGACGGTGTTAGGTGGTAGCCTGGACACTTGCGTCGTGGCCACGAGTGGAGGACACGGCAGGCGCGGTGCAGTCAGTAGGGGTCAACCGATGTTGGTGTGCGTAATCGATGTGGGGGTTGGCAAGTTTCAGGGCAGCCCGGATACGTAATGTGAGCAGGCGAGCGTTGCAAGTCAGTGGGGGACCGAATGCGAAGATGGTAGTCATCGGAGGGATGTGGCAGGCGTGCAACTTACGCCACAAGGCGCGCGTAGCATGCGCACCCCAGGAGCCGAACTTGATATCCGTGCCCACTGCGCTCTTCGATGTCATCAACGGATGGGGACGGGTCTCTCGAGCTCTGTGTGCGATGAGGGTCAGGGCAGAGATGCAATGACGTCAGAGATGTTGGTTTGAGCAGTCTATACAGGTGAAGAAGGTGAGGCGGTAGTCTGATGCTCCGTCCAGTTCAACATAAGCTTGATGCAAACTAGAGGTCTTTGCATCGTTGTAGCTCCAATTTGATGCCATGGGGGCAACACTTGGACCACATGTGCACATAGCATGATCGGGATGCAATCGATCGTTCTCCCCTTTTGACACTACCGATTGGCAAGCATCACATGCGCGGGCTCCCAAACACGTCCAGGCACCTCGAGTCAACGTATACGATCACTGGGGGCAGCATCGATTGGACGATTCAATCAAATTATGCATTGGATACCAACGAGCACCTGTCGGGACACGATCGGGACACCGGTGAGGCCACAGCATCGCTAGTGATTTTGGTCACCGGCGAACGCGAGTCAAAACACGTCGAGGCCGTGCGGGACCACACGGAAGAGAAGAGGCATAGCGAGGACCTCGACGTTGCGGAGAAGTTTCAGGGGAGGGAGGACGGAAAGGGTGTCGCGGATGTCGGCAGCGATGCCGAGCTGATATTCAGGCAGGTTGTTGTTCAGCCACGCGTCGCAGATGTCGGCCCTCGGCGTGTAGCCCTTCCCGAGTTCGAGAAGATCCCGAGTGCACATCGCTCTTTCCTTGGGCGCGCGCTGGCTGGCTAGAGCTGGAAATGCCCGCCGGGGGCCAAACCTGGAGGCCACCAGCGGTACCTCGGCACGAACGAACTGGGTACGGAAAGAATGGGTACAATGCCCAGCAGCAGTTCCTGTTCATTTTGAACACGACTCGCTTGCCCAACAGCGGCCGCTGTTGGTTTGGGACAGCATGTGTTGTTGGGCATTGTGCCCATTTTTTCCATACCCATGTCGGGCGTCCGAAGTACCGCGCTTGGGTACCGCACGTGCAGAACCCAGAGGCTGTTGGTGCCACGCACGTCCCTGCAGCGGGCCTCAGGCCCCGCCCCCGCTGCTCGCGCTTCGCGCGTCGCGGTCCGGGCCAGGGCGGCTGCTTTTCTCAAAGGGGGCGGCACAGGGGCGGTAGTCGCGCATCGCAGGGCGCGATGCACGATGTCAGGTGACCTAAACTCATCCAGCAATTAAGGACGCCCCCCCGTCTCCGGCGAAAGTAGAACGCACACGGCACCCCAGAAGCGTTGCCCTGGCATCTCGCACCTTCTATGTGAACGCAGACGAGTCTGCTCGCCGAAACAAGCAAACCGCCTGAGACATTCTCGCAATATGGTTTCCTTATAGTTCTGAGACAAGCGCCTCGCCTGAAACATCCACAGAAACTGTTTTGGACGCAGACGAGTCTGCGTCAGGTGGTCGGTCTGGGCGAGAAATGGAAAATGGAGTGTCCGCGCGTCGTCCCAGCGCTCGGCCTTCCGAGCAGGGGCGCCCCAGCAAGGGAGAGCCCAGCTTTGAAAAGGAACCGTCCTTGCCTGCGCGATGGGGGGCGAATAATTTTGGCGGTTTGGGAGCTAAGATGACGCGCCGTGCGTGGCGGGGGCGATATCCTCGGATGCACTGCCCCACACGACCGCCGGGAAACAACAATTTTTCAATAGGGGTTGTAATGATGATCGTTCAGGACAAGGATGATGCAGAACATGAGAAAAAGGAGGGGGGAGGAAAGAAGCAGGGTAGCCCGTCTGTTTTCGGATAGTCTTGCTTATTAGTATTGTGATTCGCATTATTATTACTCGTATTTTTTCAACTCTTATTACCATTCCAATTCCAACTGGGATACCACCCGAGCCGGGGACGCAGAAATTATTTATTTTCGTTCGATTTACGCGGTGCTAGTCACATCGTTCGGCGAACACCGCCCCCCAGAATTATTCAATTACGGTACGGTGCTAATGATAACCCCAGGGGCCTCGTTAATTGCTTCATGAGGTTAGGTTATGTCCTGACTTGTTTTCCCCTCACCTCATGCTGAGGGCAAGGATATCGAGGACGCCTGCGGCGAACGACCGCCGCCCCCACGCTTGTTGGAAGCGCCTATGTGGCAAAACGTCGGGACGAAGACTTGTCAAGCTATCGTACAATGTGTTCCCCGAGCCGTTGTGGAAACCCTTGGGGGGAAATGTTGGGGAGGAAGAGAGGAGGAGCGGGAGGAACTGTTGGAACGCTTTGGCCATGCCCGAGGAGCCGTGCTACATCCCACAACGCAGGCGCATGCCTGGCCAGGCACCGAAGCCCCAGACTTGACATGCCACAGCGCAGACGCGGCGGACCCATGCGTCCACGCAGCTCCAGCGCACGAATGCCGTCGCAGGAGGGGAGGGGAGGAGAGGAGAGGAGGGAGGGGGGAGAAGGACAGCTAGCCCTCACGCGCCCTTGCATGAGCTTGCGCAAGGTTGAAAGCAATCGTAGACGTCGGGAAGGTCAGTTTGCGGTCCGCCTAGGTTCGTCCGCGTGGCTGGCTGGATGAGCCGAGAGCCCATTGGGAACCATTTGGAAGGGCCAGGCAGAAACTAAACATGTTTTAACATCTGGCGCGCCAGTAATCTTGTGGACAGACCATGGGGAGCGGCATATCGAATGGCCATGGGCCCATCGCGTCACTACGCATGGATCGCGGACAGCAGACCTCTTGGGGTCTCCTGGGGGCGTCTTCAACCCAGGTGGGCCCCGTAGCTGCCTCTCGGATGTGTCTTTGGGGGGTTTCTTGGGAGCTTCTGGAGTCCCCTTGGCGGTCCATGGGCCATATTGGGGGAAAGGGTTCCACATGCCACTTCGACTTCTGCTTCTTGGAGGGGCCTCTTGGGTGCCTCGGAGCCCGCTTTGGGGCGATGTCTGGGGCCTCTTTGGCCGCCTTGGGCAATATCAAGACCGAAGAGCCGAGAAAGCGAATGTCTTATACAACACGTTATTATCGTCAATGCTTGTGGTTCTGTGGGCCAGCCCCCAGCGCACAAAACGACTCCGGGATGGGCCCTGGGACCATTTCGGGCCATGCTGGAAGTACAGAATCCCAACCACGATCCCGAGGCCGCTGACAAACATCACGCGAGATGCCCGGGTAGCGCTCAGGAGCGCCCGTGAGTCGGGCCCCTCGGGCCCCTGCACAGTGCTCTTATACACTGAGTGCAGAGAACTCGAAAGGGGCCTGAGGACATGCCACGTCGTGTCTCGCGGCACGGGGCCTCATCAGGGAGCAGGGAGCCGGCACCAGACCGAGAAGGAGGGGGTTACCCAGGGTTGGTCATAAGTACCCCTCCCTCGAGGAAGAGCCCTGATCAGTCTACGGTCGCACCCTCCTCAAAGGTTTGGTTAGGGATCTCTTGCTCCATGGAGTAGAAGCAGGAGCGGCAGGGGGGGAGGCTGCGATGAGAGGAGAGACTGTCGCAAGTCGAGCTGCAACCAAGCGCGAGGGACCCACCAGAGCGGGAGGTGTTCTAGACTTCTTGGCTGGCCTGTGGCCCGAGAAGCTCTCGGACGTGGCAGAGTACGGCAAGATCGGGATATGCAGAGGGGCGAGGGAGGGAGGGACGTCGGAAGAGGTCCTCGTCCAGGGCCAGCAGATGGTATGGCGTGCCCTAGGGAGGGGCCGTGAAGCTCGACGGAGTCTCCATATGGCATTTGAGTCTAACCTTGCCAAGAGGCCCTGAATAGCTGAATAGCGTGTGCGAGGACACGGCACGACCTGCACCACAGGTCGCGCTGCAGGCCGCGCCACACACCTTGGGCCACGGAATCACGAGTTGGCCCCCTCTGTCCCCTTGCTCGGGCGAACCTGGGTCACCCCACGGGCGCGAAGAGAGTCGCGCCTCGCGCATCGCGGCCTGGGTTAGAGAGGCGCCTTCTTCAGGGCGGCAGCGCGAGGGTGCGATATATATATACAGAGCATGAGACCTTGAGATCCCCGACAGACTGCATTCGCTTGGACGGGAGTCTACCCCTGCCAGGGGGGATAGAGCGGTCGGTCCGCGGCAGGGCAGTGCGGCAGGGCAAGGTACGGAGAGAGATGTGATGGGACTTCCGAGACGAGGTCTTCCTCAGCTCTAGTGCCCACAGGGAAGATCTCGTCCTGAGTCTTATAGTATCGAAGACGCCTACGGCGAATCACTGTCGCCCCCTGCCTTCTAGAATCGCTCATGCGGCCGAGCGTTGTGGCAAGAGCTCTGCCAAGCTATCGGACCATATGTTTCCCCCAACCGTTGTGGAAACCCTTCGGGAAACACTTGGGGGAGGATGGCTGGTAAGATCAGGAGGAGGAGGAGGAGGAGGAGGAGGAGAAGGCATTGGGCCCCAGGTCTTCTGACACCTACAGGAGGTCGTCAGAGAGTTCAGTCAGATAGTGAACCACCTGGGCCAGCCTCAGGCGTGCACTGCACACCTCTCTTTTCCCTTACTGTACTTGTGTGTTCAGTGCCGCGATATTCTCATTATCACTTTCGCTTCTGCTTCTGCCGTCAACACGGCCAAGCGACAGGGCCGTGAGCCCACTTGGCACCGACGAGCCCGAGCTAAAAGAGCAAGTGCCCGTCTACTTCTCAGAGCACTCCAGGCCCGACAGCTTCTCAGCCAACACCACAGTTCGGATAAGATGGCGGGCAAATGTGTGACTCGCGGTCCAGGAAGCGCCAGGGCTCAGGGTCCTGGCATACAGTGGGATTGTCAGCAGTGTGGAAGATATGTCAAGCAGCATCACTGGCGGTGCCTACGTGGATGCAGCTATGGACAGAGCGAACACATGAAGCCGAAGACTGGTGGCCCCTTCGCGCACGCGCAGCGACAGAGGATGAGAGCCGCCAGTTTGCCGAGTCACCAGCAGAAAGAAGATGAACGTCATATCAAATCCTTCATCGCCAAGGTAGTTCCAGCCACCCGTCCTGAGGTCATTGCGTCAGCTAGAGGACGAGAACTGTTTCAGGAACCACCTACGGACATCAAGGAGCTCAAGAGTTTCGAGCAGGCCAATCGTGAGAGGCTAAGAATGTTAGCCAAGCTAGCCATCGCTGCTCGTGAAGCAGGACATGGAGATCATATGAGTTTGGAAGGGATGAGCGTCATCAAGCTAATGCAAGCTACGACTGAGTCCGTCACCAGGCAGCTGAGTGACCTTCGCCAAGCCAAGGACCGCGTCCTCGACCGCATCAAAGGCATCAAGGACCGCGTCAAGGGCCTCATTGATGACGAGCGCCAGGCGGAGGACGAGCTCGAGCGCATCCGCTCCAGCATCGCCGAGCTCGAGGACCTGGCGGATGCGCAGGAGGGTGACGACATGGACGAAGACCAAGGAGTAGGAGCAGGCGGCGGCGCCGCAGCGGCCAAGTGTGCTGATCACCCGATCCACACGCCGCGCGGCATGCGGGCCTATCCAGCGGGTGCTGCACCCCCTGCGGCAGCGGCAGCTGCGGCCAGTGCCGCCCACGCCGCGTCGTCGGGAGGCCCAATGCACCCGCCGCCTGCCGCACCTCCTCCGTATTGCGGCCATGGCATACCACCTCCGCCACCGCCCGCCCAGCAGCCAACTCAGGAGATAGCCCAGATGCAGTTCATGATTACTCAGATGCTCAACATCCAAGCTAGCCAGGACCAGCGCATGAGGAAGATAACGCAGTACTTGCAGACGCAGCAGAACATTACAGCCCCAGCCATGGGGTTTGCAGCAGGGGCCCAGCCACCACACCAGGCTGGGCCCCCGCAAGCTGGCACGCCAAAGACGACGGCGACACCAGAGGAATCACCAGTGCCGATGACTCCGCCCGCGAGCACCAGGGGCGGACTCGCCTCACCGTCGCCATTCCCGCCAGGACAGCCGACGCCGCCTACGCCAGTAGACGGATGCCCGACACCAGTCGCGGGAACAGCCAGATGTGACCAGTGGAGAACCGGAAGAAGTACCCGTACCGATGCACGTGCCCTACCCGATCTCGCCGACCCAGCCGATGATGG